GAAAGACCATTTGTTTTATAGATGGTGCTGGAAAAACTGGATATTCACACGTAAAAGAATGAAACTAGATCCCTGTCTTACACCACTCACAAAAATAGACTTGATATGGATTAAAAAGCCTTAAATGTAAGACCAGAAATTCCTAAAAAAAACCCAGGAAAAAAGCTCCTTGACAGATACGTTGCCAGATTTGTTTTGTTTTTGTTTGTTTGTTTGTTTTGGATAGGACACTGAAAGCACAAACAAACAAGCGGGGCTACAAAGTAAAAAGATTCAGCACAGCAAAATAATCAACAAAATTAAAAGACAACTATGGAAGAGGAAAAATATTTACAACTCATGTATCTGATAAGAGGTTATTATCTAAAATATATAAGGAACTCCTACAACTAAATAGCAAAAAACCCCAAATAATCCATTGATAAAAATGGGCAAAGGACCTGAATAGACATTTTTCCAAAGAAGATACATGAATGGACAACAGGTACACAAGAAGGTGCTCAACATCATTAATAATAGGGGAAATACAAATCAAAATCACAATGATATACCACATCATGTCTGTTAGGATGGCAATTATCAAAAGACAAGAGGTAACAAATGTTGGTGAGGGTGTGCAGAAAATGGAAGTCTTGTGCACTGCTGATGGGACAGTAAATTGGTTTGGCCACTATGGAAAGCAGTATGGATTTCCCTCAAAGAGTTAAAAATAGAGCTACCATATGATGCATCAATTCCACTTCTGGGGATTTATATAGAAGGAGATGAAAAACTGTTGAGATACCTGCATCTCCACGTTCACATTAGCATTATTTACAATAGGCAAGACATGGAAGTGTCCACCCATGGGTGAATCAATAAAGAAATGGTGGTGTATATATACAGTAGAATATTATTCAGCCATAAAAAGAAGGAAATGCTGCCATTTGTGGCAACACGGATGGCCCTTGAGGGCATTATGCTAAGTGAAGTCAGAAAGAAATACTGTATGGTTTTACTCTTACGTGTAATCTTAAAAGATCAAATTTGTGGTTACCAGAGGCAAGGGGTGAGGGAAGGAGGAACTGGGTGTAGATGATCCAAAAGATACACACTTACAGTTATGAGATAAATAAGTGCTGGGGATATAATGGACAACATGATAACTATAGTTAACACTGCTTTATGGTCTATATGAAAGTTGATGAGAGTAAATCCTAAAAGTTCTCATCACAAGGGGAAAAAAAAAAACAATTTAAGTATCTCCCTGAGATAATGGATGTTAACTAAACTTATTGTGGTAATCTTTTCATAGGAATCATATGTGTAAGCCAAGTCATTATGCTGTACACCTTATACAAGGCTGTAGGTCAGTTACAGCTCAGTGAAACTGGTGGGGAAAGAGGCTGAGTAACTTGCAGAAGGTCTCACAGCTAGAGCCAGGAGAGACCAACATTCAAACTCGGTGCTGTCTGGTCTAACAGCCAAATACTGCTAAGGACTTTGATCTGTACTATGTACTTAGTGGGCATCGGCAAAGGGTTTTAAAAAGGACGGCAAAAGTAAGAGCTGTATTTTACTAGGTTCATTCTGTTGCAGGGTGGGGCCTGGAGTGGGAGAAAGGTATGGGACATGGGGATGATGGCTGTCTTTACATCTAACATTGGGTTGATGGGGTCTATCCCACATGCACTCTAAAACTTACTGAACACAGCTGTTTTGGAGCCTCTCAAGGAAACCTGCATCACTGTTCATTATCGGGTTGGTAGCTGATGAGTTACTAGTGAGCTTATAAGGTGCTGCAGAAAGCAACAGGCCCCATGCCTGATTTTACCATACACCAAATGGGAAATGACGTCTTCCTGAAGTCTGCTGAGAAGTCTTTGTGGTACTAGGCGCAGGTACTAGGTACTTCTCTCTTGCCGTAAAGGCCGATTTCACTCAAACTGCATGACTCTTCTTTTTCCTGTAGCATGCCAAACCAGGCACCTCTCTACTAGACTATAGATCACACTTCCAAAAAGCCAACTATGGAGAAAAGCTGGAGATAACGGGGCAATACTGCTCCATAGTTCGGCTTCTTTGGTTTGTAGGCAGAAAACTCACTGGGAAGCCCAGGTGTTGGCTTTCACCGTGTACAGTTTCCACCTAATTGATAGCGGAATGCAGACTTTTGAGTCTCTGTCCAGATGATAGGATGGTGCCAGGGGTTAGAGTAACAGCCTCTGTTCTTCTATTTTCAAGGAAAATAGCACTTCTGGTTTGTTGAGAGTCCTAAGATGCCCAGTCATACCTATCAGCCCAGGGTTCACGGCTCTCCTTATGGTCCAGCCCGGCCTTGCTTACTGACCTCACAACATGCTAGAGAAGAGCTGATAGGAAGGTAGTTTACAAATGTTTAGATGAAGACGGAAGTGTTTAACACAACAACTGCTCTCAGCCACAGCAACTCTCCAGCCTCACTTAGGTCATCCAGTATCCAGTTTCAACACTGAAAATAAAGTCTTGATTGGTAATAAGATTCACACGTTAAGACTAAGCCTCACTCACCGCCTCAGGGCCCAAGGTTCATGCTGCTCACCCTACCCCTGCCCGTTTCCCAGTCTGCCCGTCTCCGTCCTCAACATGTCTCCTACGATAGTCTGCATTTGTGGAGCACGCGTGTGCCAAGCCCTGTGCTCTACCCCACCCCTCGTTGCTCCTTAGGTTTCGTGTCAGACACCATACCCTGCTCCAGGACAGTGCTGTGAGCTCCCGTACTTAAAACAAGATGCACAGGCAGTATAACAGAATCAATGGGACTGTTTCTACTGTCACCAGACATGCGACTTCCCACAATGCGCAGCATCCCACAATCCCTTTGGGAGTCAAAGTCCCATCTCAGAATTGCACAATGGTGCAGCCAGAGGGCCTGTGTAATTGCCTCCCCAGATGGGCCTACAGACTATGAGCCCACTGTTCCTGGGGGGATGACTGAAGGCTCATTTGCTGCTATGCACACTTACGGACAGGACCTGTCAGCTTCTGACTCTTCAAAGGAGTCAAAGAAACAGCTTGACTGGAAGGCATTTCAGCTAGGGAGCAGCTGTGGGGCCTGATATGGTACACCTTGTTGGCTTGTTTCGATCCCAAGTTTCAGCTGAAATACTTAAAAAGTTCCTCTGGGACGGTAGCCAGTGCACATCCTGGCAGAACTCCCCAAGGAGGGAGAGCAAGGACCATCCCCATCTATGGCTTCAGAGTCAGACTATCTCCGCTTCAAGCCAGTACAGCTCTTATTAGCTCTGCAACCTTGGTGGGTTAAGTTCTCTGTGCTTCAGTTTCCTCATCTGTGAAATGGGGGATAAGAACAGTGCCTCACACGGTTATTGGGAAGGATTAAATCCGTTAACACAGTGCTCGCTTCGGCAGCACATATACTAAAATTGGAACGACACAGAGAAGATTAGCGTGGCCCCTGCACAAGGATGACACACAAATTCATGAAGCGTTCCATATTTAAAAAACAGTTAACACACATAAAACTACTTAGAACAGCATCTGGCACAAGTGCCTAATAATGCCAAGTACTAGTATTAATGACAGTAATAAAACATCCCCCTGTAACAACATTACCTTGACGAGCGGGAGCACCATCCAGGCAGCCCTTTTCCCCCAGCCTGTTCTAAGGTGAGGAGCGTGAGGCCGGCCTCCGCTGCCGTTATCTTGACTGCTGCAAACACTGCCTTTACTGAGAACATATGGGAAAGGCCCTTGAGTCCGAGCTTCAAGTGCCTGATCTGTGTCACCAGGACAAGTCATGTTTCCTGAGACCATTTGCTTGCTTGAAAAATGGGAACACTGATCCCTATCGTGATGGCTTCCTGGGATGGCTGGGAGAGCAAAGGGGTTCAGGCAGGAGGTGACTTTATAAGACCAGCAGCTTGAACGGACACGAGGACCCACTGTAGCAAAGGCCGTGCCAGCATGGAGCAGATCGCCCGGCTTCCGGCCAGGCAGTCCTTGGCACCACAGTCCCTGAGGCCTCTCCCTGGATCTCACAAGAACCTCTCCCGCTCTCTCCTCTTTCTCTGCCAACGTGAGGGTCTCTCTGCCCTTTTATCTCCTGACAAGGGTGTTGACATGCGGCACACCTGTGCTCGCAGTGATTTGCTTGCTTTGTTCCCCCCGTCAACCTTCCTCTCTGGCGATGGAGGCCACCTGACCCCCAGCTGTGGGCAGTGGCTCCAGCCCTCCCCCAGACGCTGGTCATTACTAAGGCCTAATGTAGATTTAGGCCCTAGTGGGACCTGCAGATAGATGGAGGCGACTATGAAATATGTGAAAAACTGGTCGCAAAGGACTCCTCCAGTCCTCCCGAGATTCCTGCCTGGAGAGATCTGTCTCCGTATTTCAGGGAGCCTCCACCACTATTCCTAGCACCTACCCAACATTCCGAGCTTGGCAGGTGCTCTCACAGGTTGTTGCAATATGTTTAATACTCAGCCCCTCAACCGCACCCTGGCTTAGGTACTTGGGGTGTGACTAATTTGTGGGTAGTAAAAACATAAAATGAAAAATAAAATAACTTCCAAGGGTAGTACTTTAGAAATTACGAAGTGCACACTATCTCACTCAGCAGCCTGCCGTATAAACAGGATGGGTGCAGCGATTACTAAACCCTATTTTACAGGTGAGGAAACTGAGGGTCAGGGAGGCCACGTGATTTGCCCGAGGTCAGATAACTTGTCAGAAACCCGAAACTCAGGCTTCCTGGTTACACACTGAGGCTTTTTTCCTTGACTCCAGGCTATCCTGGGTGCTTCCTACCTTTCTTGGCAAAAACATCTTCCAAATAGCTCATCCAATGTAAATAACTAGGACCTACACGTGAGTGAATTTTATGGGCGGGTTCAGTAAAATTGGCCTTGTGCCAGCACGTGGAATTCACTAGAAAATGCCACTTGAGCACAGGGCGTGTCATGTTAGGAGCATCAGGACAACCACAGAATCAGAGACTCGTGGCACCCCCATCGTCCTACCTTCTCCAGGCCCGCTGGATGACCGCGGCCGCCTTGTTCTTCTTGCGAAACAGCTCTTTCCTGCTCCTTTCTCTCTGGATTATCTGCAGCCGCAGTTCTACGGGGAGAAGGTCAATATTGACACTCTGCCCAGAGAGGGGACCAGGTGCTGGATCAGTCTCCTTGGATAGCTGGGTGTCCTCAGACAGGGCAGATGTTCCCAGCTTCCTGACTCCCGACCTCAACACCTCTGTGCTCTGTGGCAAATCTGAGTAGATCCCTCCTGCGAGCTTGTCCTGTGTCACTTTGTTTCTTGGTGTCCGATGGTGGAGAGGATGCTGCCCAGCGTGGACCACCTCCCCCTTGGCACTGCCAGGCCGGCTAGAACCAGCCGGGGAGCCCCTTCCTCCTCTGAGCTCTTGAATGCGCCTTTTTTGGGAAGCACACCTGGCCTTGGGTGCTGGGTCCTGCCGCCTGCCGGGCTTCCGGTGGCCATCCTGCTGTGGAAGGCTTGCAGCTGCCCAACCGGGGTCCTCTCCTTCCTCATCAGGCCCAGCCGCCCTGATACAGGAGGGCTGCTTCAAGAAGCCTTTCCCCTTGTCACACCGCCGCTCACCAACTGTCTCACCTCCGGACTTCTCAACAGAGGAGACTCCTGGATGCCTGTTTCCATCCTTGCCTTTACTGGGGCTGAAGTGGACACAGGCAGATCGGCCTTTAGAGTGTTCTCTGGATGATTCTTGGGGAGATAAGGAAAAAAGGAAAGAATATTTATTGTCCCAAACTTAGCCCATTTTTTCACATAAAATACTCACACTCGTCCGATAGCTTCACCATGATAGCAGTGACTCTAATCAGAAAAAAACTGTTCAACTTCTATTTCTAGCAATGGAATGTTAGATAACCTGAAATCCTTCCCATTACAAGAACCTACAAATGCTGGGGGGGCGCCTGGGTGGCTCAGTCGGTTGAGCGTCCGACTTCAGCTCAGGTCACGATCTCGCGGTCTGTGAGTTTGAGCCCCACGTCGGGCTCTGGGCTGATGGCTCAGAGCCTGGAGCCTGTTTCCGATTCTGTGTCTCCCTCTCTCTCTGCCCCTCCCCATTCATGCTTTGTCTCTCTCTGTCTCAAAAATAAATAAACGTTAAAAAAAATTAAAAAAAAAAAAGAACCTACAAATGCTGACTAAA